GGGTTACTGATGTACAGGGCTTGGGTTACTGATGTACAGGGCTGGAGTTATTGATGTACAGGGCTGGGGTTACTGATGTACAGGGCTTGGGTTACTGATGTACAGGGCTGGGGTTACTGATGTACAGGGCTGGGGTTACTGATGTACAGGGCTTGGGTTACTGATGTACAGGGCTGGGGTTACTGATGTACAGGGCTGGGGTTACTGATGTACAGGGCTGGTGTTACTGATGTACAGGGCTGGGGTTACTGATGTACAAGGCTTGGGTTACTGATGTACAGGGCTGGAGTTACTGATGTACAGGGCTGGGGTTACTGATGTACAGGGCTGGGGTTACTGATGTACAGGGCTGGGGTTACTGATGTACAGGGCTGGGGTTACTGATATACAAGGCTGGGGTTACTGATGTACAGGGCTTGGGTTACTGATGTACAGGGCTGGGGTTACTGATGTACAGGGCTGGGGTTACTGATGTACAGGGCTTGGGTTACTGATGTACAGGGCTGGGGTTACTGATGTACAGGGCTGGGGTTACTGATGTTACAGGGCTGGGGTTACTGATGTACAGGGCTGGGGTTACTGATGTACAGGGCTGGGGTTACTGATGTACAGGGCTGGGGTTACTGATGTACAGGGCTGGGTTACTGATGTACAGGGCTGGGTTACTGATGTACAGGGCTGGGGTTACTGATGTACAGGGCTGGGGTTACTGATGTACAGGGCTGGGTTACTGATGTACAGGGCTGGGGTTACTGATGTAGCAGGGCTGGGGTTACTGATGTACAGGGCTGGGGTTACTGATGTACAGGGCTGTGTTACTGATGTACAGGGCTGGGGTTACTGATGTACAGGGTTGGGGTTACTGATGTACAGGGCTGGGGTTACTGATGTACAGGGCTTGGGTTACTGATGTACAGGGTTGGGGTTACTGATGTACAGGGCTGGGGTTTCTGATGTACAGGGCTGGGGTTACTGATGTACAGGGTTGGGCTACTGATGTACAGGGCTGGGGTTACTGATGACAGGGCTAGGGTTACTGATGTACAGGGCTGGGGTTACTGATGTACAGGGCTGGGGTTACTGATGTACAGGGCTGGGGTTACTGATGTACGGGCTTTGGTTACTGATGTACAGGGCTGGGTTACTGATGTACAGGGCTGGGGTTACTGATGTACAGGGCTGGGGTTATTGATGACAGGGCTGGGGTTACTGATGTACAGGGCTGGGGTTACTGATGTACAGGGCTGGGGTTACTGATGTACAGGGCTGGGGTTATTGATGTACAGGGTTGGGGTTACTGATGTACAGGCTGGGGTTACTGATGTACAGGGCTGGGGTTACTGATGTACAGGGCTGGGGTTATTGATGTACAGGGTTGGGGTTACTGATGTACAGGGCTGGGGTTACTGATGTACAGGGCTGGGGTTATTGATGTACAGGGCTGGGGTTACTGATGTACAGGGCTGGGGTTACTGATGTACAGGGCTGGGGTTACTGATGTACAGGGCTGGGGTTATTGATGTACAAGGGTTGGGGTTACTGATGTACAGGCTGGGGTTACTGATGTACAGGGCTGGGGTACTGATGTACAGGGCTTGGGTTACTGATGTACAGGGCTGGGTTACTGATGTACAGGCTGGGGTTACTGATGTACAGGCTGGGGTTATTGATGTACAAGGCTGGGGTTACTGATGTACAGGGCTGGGGTTACTGATGTACAGGGCTGGGGTTACTGATGTACAGGGCTGGGGTTATTGATGTACAGGGTTGGGGTTACTGATGTACAGGGCTGGGGTTACTGATGTACAGGGCTGGGGTTACTGATGTACAGGGCTGGGATTACTGATGTACAGGGCTGGGGTTACTGATGTACAGGGCTGGGGTTACTGATGTACAGGGCTGGGGTTACTGATGTACAGGCTGGGGTTACTGATGTACAGGGCTGGGGTTACTGATGTACAGGGCTGGGGTTACTGATGTACAGGGCTTGGGTTACTGATGTACAGGGCTGGGGTTACTGATGTACAGGGCTGGGGTTACTGATGTACAGGGCTGGGGTTATTGATGTACAGGGCTGGGGTTACTGATGTACAGGGCTGGGGTTACTGATGTACAGGGCTGGGGTTACTGATGTACAGGGCTGGGGTTATTGATGTACAGGGTTGGGGTTACTGATGTACAGGGCTGGGGTTACTGATGTACAGGGCTGGGGTTACTGATGTACAGGGCTGGGATTACTGATGTACAGGGCTGGGGTTACTGATGTACAGGGCTGGGGTTACTGATGTACAGGGCTGGGGTTACTGATGTACAGGGCTGGGGTTACTGATGTACAGGGCTGGGGTTACTGATGTACAGGGCTGGGGTACTGATGTACAGGGCTGGGGTTACTGATGTACAGGGCTTGGGTTACTGATGTACAGGGCTGGGGTTACTGATGTACAGGGCTGGGGTTACTGATGTACAGGCTGGGGTTATTGAGTACAGGCTGGGGTTACTGATGTACAGGGCTGGGGTTACTGATGTACAGGGCTGGGGTTACTGATGTACAGGGCTGGGTGTTATTGATGTACAGGGTTGGGGTTACTGATGTACAGGGCTGGGGTTACTGATGTACAGGGCTGGGGTTACTGATGTACAGGGCTGGGATTACTGATGTACATTGCTGGGGTTACTGATGTACAGGGCTGGGGTTACTGATGTACAGGGCTGGGGTTACTGATGTACAGGGCTGGGGTTACTGATGTACAGGGCTGGGGTTACTGATGTACAGGGCTGGGGTTACTGATGTACAGGGCTGGGGTTACTGATGTACAGGGCTGGGGTTATACACAGCGACACAAGTACATGTAGACTGATAAAGTTTGATGTCGTCTGTATAAACAATATAAGTTGCACTGTATCCAGCGTGCACTCTGTGATTCACATTTGTAGTGACTTAATAATAAGTCAGGTAATGGTTGCCAATAATGATTTTTATATTCCATTAGAATTCTAGTAATTTTAAACTTGTGTAAATTATTTTGGTTCTGCCTTGTAAGATTAATACCTTAGGGAATTTCTTTATCCACTTGCGTATTATCACAGGAAAATAATGTTTAAATTTTTCACATTTCTTTGTAAGCTAACTTCTGTTTCGTTCAAGTAGGTCTATATTTTTTCAGAATCTCATTTCTGTCATAGTGAAAGAAACTCTCAGAGTTGGTCTTAAATTCCCTCACATCTTTAATTTCATAATTCTTTTTGACTTTCAAATTTCTTTGATAACTTCTGTATGACATTCATTGTTACATTGTTACATTGTTACATTGTTACATTGTTACATTGTTACATTGCTATACAAGTTTCTGTTTATAGCACCTAACTGATACTTTCCTCTTCCCTTTATCCATTTAGCCTCTTTATATTTGATATAATTTCTCAATTATATATGTACGAGGTTTGGGTACGCCTTGTACATGTGTAGCAAAGGTGTACACTGAGGCGTGCACTGAGGTGTACACTAAGGCGTGCACTGAGGCGTGCGCTGATGTGTGCACTAAGGCGTGCACTGAGGCGTGCGCTGAGGTGTGCACTGAGGCGTGCACTGAGGTGTACACTGAGGTGTGCACTGAGGTGTGCACTAAGGCGTGCACTGAGGCGTGCGCTGAGGTGTGCACTGAGGCGTGCACTGAGGTGTACACTGAGGTGTGCACTGAGACGTGCACTGAGGCATGCACTGAGGCATGCACTGAGGTGTACACTGAGGCATGCACTAAGGCGTGCACTGAGGCGTGCACTGAGGCGTGCACTGAGGCGTGCACTGAGGATTGCACTGAGGCATGCACTGAGATGTGCACTGAGGCGTACACTGAGGCGTGCACTGAGGCATGCACTGAGGCGTGCACTGAGGTGTGCACTGAGGCGTGCGCTGAGGCGTGCACTGAGGCGTGCACTGAGGCGTGCACTGAGGCGTGCGCTGAGGCGTGCACTGAGGTGTGCACTGAGGTGTACACTTAGGCGTGCACTGAGGTGTGCACTGAGGTGTGCACTGAGGCGTGAACTGAGGCGTGCACTGAGGCGTGCACTGAGGTGTGCACTGAGGCGTGCACTGAGGCGTGCGCTGAGGTGTGCACTGAGGCGTGCACTGAGGCGTGCGCTGAGGCGTGCACTGAGGTGTGCACTGAGGCGTGCACTGAGGTGTGCACTGAGGTGTGCACTGAGGCGTGCACTGAGGCGTGCACTGAGGCGTGCGCTGAGGCGTGCACTGAGGCGTGCACTGAGGCGTGCACTGAGGCGTGCGCTGAGGCGTGCACTGAGGCGTGCACTGAGATGTGCACTGAGGGTCAGAAGTTTGTGATCCTTCATTTGTTGTTATATTATTCCATGAGATATTAAAAATAACTGATTTATGGTCGCTTTCTTTAAGCTTTTCATTACTACAATTTTTTTCTATCAAATAATTCATTATTCTTCAGAACAAAATCAATAAGATTATTTCCTCAAGTTAATTTTATCAAAATCTGTTTTAAATAGAAGTTATGGACTAATTCTGGAAGGTCACTAGTATATTCCCTGTCAAATTGTTCCAATCAGGAAAGCTGATATCTTGTAAGCTTAATTTCGTGAGCATTAACGTTAACTGGTTTATGATTCACGAAATCGTACGGTTTGTTTACCTTGTATTACGACTCACGAGATCGTTTGGTTTGTTTACCTTGTATTATGACTCACGAGATCGTATGGTTTGTTTACCTTGTATTAAGACTCACGAAATCGTATGGTTTGTTTACCTTGTATTATGACTCACGAGATCGTATGGTTTGTTTACCTTGTATTATGACTCACGAGATCGTTTGGTTTGTTTACCTTGTATTATGACTCACGAGATCGTATGGTTTGTTTACCTTGTATTAAGACTCACGAAATCGTATGGTTTGTTTACCTTGTATTATGACTCACGAAATCGTATGGTTTGTTTACCTGGTATTATGACTCACGAAATTGCATGGTTTGTTTACCTGGTATTGTTTCTCTGATCGTTGTAGACACTCCAGCTCCTCTGTGAAGAGTGTTACTTGCACCTCTCTTCTCTCCTCCCATCTGCGACCAATCTGTTATAGAAGGAAACATTATGACGTGAAAATCTCAGTATATTTTCGATAGAAATATATTGTGTAAGGAGAAATATTGTAATTGCATTTCCATGTCAAAACCGACCTTTAAGGTCGGTTTTGACATGGTACATCATTGTCACATGTGGTGAATGGTTTTGAAAAACCGACAAGTTGAAGAATTGAGACACTTGTGCAACACAAGGGAATCTTTATTGAAGAAACGTTTCGCCACACAGTGGCTTCATCAGTCCAATACAAAGTAGAAATGGGTAAGGAGAGGAGGAGTTCGAGGTAATCAGTCCCTCAACCTGGAATCGATGTGTTCAGTCCATCACTCTTGTAGGAAGTGCAGCATAGGGCCAGAGAGGTGGCTTATATACTGCGGTGAGATGAGTTGAAGCAGGAGGAGGCGGATCACAGTGGGACCTGCCACTAGTGTAAGTATGTCGTCGTCCAAAGGTTGGGCAAGCGTTGAAGTCTTTGTACCAAGATCCCATGATGTTGCAGTGTCTGACAGATGTGGTGAATGGTTGTCACAGGTTATGTCCCCAGCAAATTTGAGAAAGGTAATCATTTCAGTCCCAAGTAGGACTAACACACATGTAAATGTAAATAACTCCTTTTACCTTATTCCTAGTATATATCCTTTATAGTATAATAATAAGATATTATATTCTTTATAGTATAATAATAAGATATTATATTCTTTATAGTATAATAATAAGATATTATATTCTTTATAGTATAATAATAAGATATATATATTCTTTATAGTATAATAATAAGATATTATATTCTTTATAGTATAATAAGATATTATATTCTTTATAGTATAATAATAAGATATTATATTCTTTATAGTATAATAATAAGATATTATATTCTTTATAGTATAATAATAAGGTATTAAAAGAACCCTAATGAAAATAAGTCACTCTGTCTGACATTTTTGGGTTATCCCAGGTTCTCTACACATATGCTGCTATGTATGATAATTCTACGTAACTGTATTTGTGTATACCTGAATAAACTTACGCGATGATCACTGGGTCAGTCTCCACAACGCTTTAATAAAAGATCACAAGTTTATTGCCCAGCACATCTTATGCAAGGTAACAGGTTCTGTTCCAAATACATCTTACACAAAGGTCACAGGTTCATTTCTATGTAAGTCTTATAGATAAGTCACAGGTTGACCTCCCAGTACGTTTTATGCATAGGTAACAGATTCAGTTCCCAGTACACTAAGGCTAGAGGTAAAATTCCCAATATGACGTATACAAAAGCAGCAGGTTCATTACCTAGTACGTCATACACAAGGGTCGCAGTTTCAATCCCAATTGCGTCCTATACAAAGGAAACAAGTTCTCTCCCCAGTGTTTTTATATGAAATTCGCAGGATCAGTCTTCATTTAGTCTTAAACAAAGGTAACAGGTGATGTCTCCAGTGCGTCTTATTCAAATGTCCCAGGTTCAGTCCCCAGTGTGTCTTACACAAGTCAACAGGTTCAGTCCCCAGTGTGTCTTACACAAGTCAACAGGTTCAGTCCCCAGTGTGTCTTACACAAGTCAACAGGTTCAGTCCCCATGTGTGTCTTACACAAGTCAACAGGTTCAGTCCCCAGTGTGTCTTACACAAGTCAACAGGTTCAGTCCCAGTGTGTCTACACAAGTCAACAGGTTCAGTCCCCAGTGTGTCTTACACAAGTCAACAGGTTCAGTCCCCAGTGTGTCTTACACAAGTCAACAGGTTCAGTCCCCAGTGTGTCTTACACAAGTCAACACGTTCAGTCCCCAGTGAGTCATACACAAGTCAACAGGTTTAGTCCCCAGTGTGTCTTACACAAGTCAACAGGTTTAGTCCCCAGTGTCTTACACAAGTCAACAGGTTTAGTCCCCAGTGACTTACACAAGTCAATAGGTTTAGTCCCAAGTGTCTTACACAAGTCAACAGGTTTAGTCCCCGGTGTGTCTTACACAAGTCAACAGGTTTAGTCCCCAGTGTCTTACACAAGTCAACAGGTTTAGTCCCCAGTGTGTCTTACACAAGTCAACAGGTTCAGTCCCCAGTGTCTTACACAAGTCAACAGGTTCAGTCCCCAGTGTGTCTTACACAAGTCAACAGGTTCAGTCCCCAGTGTGTCTTACACAAGTCAACAGGTTTAGTCCCCAGTGTGTCTTACACAAGTCAACAGGTTCAGTCCCCAGTGTCTTACACAAGTCAACAGGTTCAGTCCCCAGTGTCTTACACAAGTCAACAGGTTCAGTCCCCAGTGTCTTACACAAGTCAACAGGTTTAGTCCCCAGTGTGTCTTACACAAGTCAACAGGTTTAGTCCCCAGTGTCTTACACAAGTCAACAGGTTCAGTCCCCAGTGTGTCTTACACAAGTCAACAGTTCAGTCCCCAGTGTGTCTTACACAAGTCAACAGGTTCAGTCCCCAGTGTGTCTTACACAAGTCAACAGGTTCAGTCCCCAGTGTGTCTTACACAAGTCAACAGGTTTAGTCCCCAGTGTGTCTTACACAAGTCAACAGGTTCAGTCCCCAGTGTGTCTTACACAAGTCAACAGGTTCAGTCCCCAGTGTGTCTTACACAAGTCAACAGGTTTAGTCCCCAGTGTGTCTTACACAAGTCAACAGGTTCAGTCCCCAGTGTCTTACACAAGTCAACAGGTTTAGTCCCCAGTGTGTCTTACACAAGTCAACAGGTTTAGTACCCAGTGTCTTACACAAGTCAACAGGTTTAGTCCCCAGTGTCTTACACAAGTCAACAGGTTTAGTCCCCAGTGTGTCTTACACAAGTCAACAGGTTCAGTCCCCAGTGTCTTACACAATGAGAAATAAGACACTTGTGCCAATCTTGGAAAACTTGACAATCTGTGTTTCTATGCAGTAGCTTTTCTTTTCCTAGCTTACATCTAGTCTTATTTAACAAAAGTAAATGTAACCTATCCTAACTCATTGAATCTATCTCATGTACTGCAACCTAACCTAATGTAACCAAGAGCAAACAAGTTTCACACTAACTCAGTCTACGCTAACTTCACCTAGCTCGCAATGAAGCTTAGGAATATAGGACAATTTTTTTATATTATTATTAATAAAGTGCATAGGATTAAGTAATGGTATTTATTAAATAAGATCTTTTATTGTAGTAATTATCAGTATTGTCTGTGATTATTCTTATTTTGAGAGTTGTTATTATATTGGTAGTTATATGGTCAACCGAGCACGGCTTCCTCTAGGAAATTCTTGTTGGCTTAGTTATAGCTGGTATTAGTAAGTATTTACACTTGTTGTTAAAGAAGTCAGCTACTTGAAGGTCTTGAGCTTTACAAGGTCTATATTGTACAAGAATGGTATACAATACCGACAAAACTGATAATTTAGACACATGTGCAACATCTGGGTATCTTTATTGTAGACGTTCCGCCATCCAGTGACTTTATCGACATAAATTCTAGAACATAATTTGAAGACAGTAGAACTTTTTTTTTTATATTTTATTTTAAGCATTATAAATTACAAGGTTGTATAAAATATTAAATAACACCACAATATAGGATCTGTACAAGATTACTAAGAATAATACCACAAGTGCAGAAGAAAAATTTGAAACCTAATACAAAATAGAAATATGTAACAAACACACAAAATACATATATACCATTCACTGACACATTATACCAAATGATAAAATATCTGACACATACACACAAAACTGTTGGAGGGGGGCAGCCCCCCCTATTAAAACCCATCTATATGTACATCCACATCATTCACACACTTAATGATCACAGCAGTGATCAAACATTAGTTTATGTAACTTTTATATAGATATGCAACTGTTTATGAGATTTTACTTAAAAACAAACTCTAGGATTTATTCTAAAACTTGACTCCATAACAAAAATAAACATTACAAATTACACGATCACATAAATCATCAACAACTGCAACATTTCTACAGCATATGTATAATCTTGGAACCTTTTGATCACAGACGAATTACTCACAACAGATTCCACAGAATGGTTAAGTATTTATATTAGGAGAAATCCAGACATTTTTAAAATAATGAATTTGTAATGTGTCTCCTTAAAAGCTTTATGCAGTGAAGGAGAAAAGTCACAACATACTCACATTGAAATATTCATTATTACAAAATAACTGAACTCATACTAACGCATGGCTAAATTGATACATTTCAGTGAAATTTTGTTGGAAGTAATCTCTGAACTTTCTCAAATGCATAACTAATTATTATATCATTACAGCATTATATCTTATTAACCTTGACTAAGCAGTCTTCTGAAACTAACCAAGCTTACCGAACAACTATTACACTGTACACCACACCTTTACTTATCAAAAGCATCACTCACGCCCACGCATACCTCAAGAAGCCAGCCTCATTTTATCCCTTAAAATTGCAACGCCCATAAGTCCCTGACGCGGAAGCTACGATATCCCTCCGAAAAGGTTAAATGCTCCCAGTGATGTCCTTATTCCTCCGTTGCGTCCCATAAAATATCGCTGCCAGTGTCCTGATTCTCTCCCTTACTGACACATGTCTGTATACCCATGACGTATACACAAAGTCCGTGACTAGATAACCCATTGCGTTCTGTACCGGCAACCCCACCCCCGCACATCTAAACTTAACGCTCTTAAAACGCTAATCCCACCTCCACCCACCATACGTAAAACCCTACTAAACCACTTCCTCACTGGTTCCAACCTCGCACAAAAAAATACTGCATGAAAGACAGTGTCAATGTCCCCACACACACACTACACTCCCCACCCTCCTGCACACGCCTGTTTGCCAACACTTCTCCAGACGGTAATATATTGTGGAGAAATTTAAACATTACCTCCCTTACCATTGCCTTCAATCGTAACCCTTTTAAACGGCCCCATATATCACTCCACGCATACATCGGATATATACCTTCCACATTAGCAACCACCTCCCTACCACCCACCTGAGCCA